AAATCCCCGTTTCCCGCAGGAGACAGCCGGATCCCGAGTTTGCCGACATGATCGCCGTGCAGGATCACTGCCGGGCGCAGGAGGTGGACGAGGACAACGTCTACGGCGTCTTCGTCTCCTACATCGAGATCTACAACAACTACATCTACGACCTGCTGGAGGAGGCGCCCTGCGACTCCATCAAACCCAAGTGAGTTGGGGAATTCGGGATTGGCCCAGGCTGGGCTTGGGAATCGGCGCCAAGCCGCCGGGAAGAGGTTTGGGATGAGAGCAGTGGGATGAGAGCGGGGTCTCTGTGTCCTGTTCCATCCACCGTCGGCTTGGAGCCCACCAAACCCAAGGGAGTTTGGGAATTCCGGTATTCCCAGTCCTGGGAGGATTTTGTAGGTTATCCACCCTCGTGTTTTGGTTCTGACCTTGGGGAGCTTGGCTCAGAATTCCTGGGAATCACTGTTAAACACACGTGGAAAGGGTTCCAGCCGGGAATGTTTCAGTGCTGGTGGCCAGGGTGCTCCCTTCCTTGTTAGGCTGGGTAATTAGTGAGCAAATATTTAATTAATTAGCCAATTCTATCCCACTTAAATTCCCAGTCTATTCTAACAGGTGATTTCCACTTGGAACAAGCCATTCCATAGATTTTTGCCCTGGAAACAGTGGAAAACACTGGTTTGCTGCTCCGTATTTCCCTATTATTCCACTTGATATCAGTAATTCCCATAAAACCAGAAATTAGGGATACTTTAGGGATTTTCTTTTCAAAGGTGTGCCTTTGTGATGTCTAAAATTAATAGGAAAATTCTGCAAATTCCTCTTGGAATCCATGGATTGAAATTCCAACTCCATTAAAGGAGCCCCTCAGTCCTATGTTAATTAAGGAGTGGTTGATTAACAAAGACTAACGAGGGCAAAGCAAACTGGGAGCTGTCTCCAGGGTCTTCATTCCAGAAGGTTTTGAATCTCTGGGAATGCTTTTAAACCATTCTGTTTTTAAACACTGAATGGTTTTAAACCATTTCAAAATAAAATTTTTAAACATGAAAACTTCAATTAAAATTTTAAACATTAAAATCAAATGTAAAAAAAAAAAAATTAAAAGGTATTTATTACCAAAGCCCATCCTAAAAAAAAAAAAATCTGGGATTATTTCTCCCTCTGGAAGCTGCAGCGTGGAAAGGTTTGAGGCAGAAACCAAGGATTTAATATTTTTCCCCATTTTTTTGGTAGGTGGAACAATTGCAACACTCCTGTGAGAAATGGAGACTTTGTGTATGTGTCCAATGTCTTATTCCCATTATTCCAGTGCTGTTTTCCTTGAGTAGAAGCAGAAAATTCCCTGCCTTTCCTTGCTTTCCTAGGAAACCTAGGATGCTCTCCTTGCTTCTGTGTGCTTGTAGAAAAGCAATAGCTGCCACCAAAGCAATTAATTGCAATTAAATAGCTGCTAATTAGAGCAGTAGCTGGAGTGTCACTAATCCTGGCTGTGTGTCCATGTCCTGTATTCCCTCTTCCATCTTTTAGATGGATAATTGACCTTTTCCCTCCGAAGTTTTGACATTTTCCCCTCAGACTTGGGACATTTTCCCTCCAAATTCTGGATTTTTTCCCTCAGAATTTTCTCCCTTTTCCCCCAGAATTTTTGACCTTTCTCCCCTGAATTTTGACCATTTTTCCCTCAGAAATTTGGATTATTTTCCCCTCAGCATTTTTAGACATTTTCCCCTCAGCATTTTTGGACATTTTCCCCTCAACATTTTTGGACATTTTCTCCGCAGAATTTTTGACCTTTTCCCCTCAGACTTGTGACATTTTCCCTCCGAATTCTGAATTTTTTCCCTCAGAATTTTTGACCTTTTCCCCCAGAATTTTTGACCTTCTCCCCTGAATTTTGACCATTTTTTCCCTCAGAAATTTGGATTATTTTCCCCTCAGCATTTTTGGACATTTTCCCCTCAGAATTTTTGACCTTTTCCCCTCAGACTTGTGATATTTTCCCTCCAAATTCTGAATTTTTTCCCTCCGATTTTTGACCTTTTCCTGCTGAATTTTGCCCTCCGAGAGAATCTGCATGGCAAGAAGCTGCACAGAGAACTCCCCTCCATTGGGATTTATTTGGATTTTTTTCCCTCTTTCCCATTATCCCAAAGACCTCCCCAGTCCAAAATCCTTCGGGAAGACCAGAACCACAACATGTACGTGACGGGCTGCACCGAAGTGGAGGTCAAATCCACCGAGGAAGCTTTTGAAGTCTTTTGGAGAGGTAAAAATCTTGGAATTCAGGGCTGATCCCACATTCCCAGCCCCTTAAACATCATCCACGAGCAGGGAAATTCCAGCTGGATCAGCCCCATCCTTGGGATGGAGCATCCACAGCTTCTGTGGGCATTTAGGGCCTCTCCATTCCCAACCCTTCCTAATATCCCACAGCTGGGAAACCCCTCACACCCTGATGGTGGTGGGAAAGCAGCGGGAATTTTGGGAATTTGGTGTCTGAGCAGGGCAGAAGAAGCGGCGCATCGCCAACACGCAGCTGAACCGGGAATCCAGCCGCTCCCACTCCGTGTTCATCATCAAACTGGCACAGGCTCCTCTGGATGCTGATGGGGACAACGTGCTGCAGGTCAGTTCTGGGTCATTCCAGGAGAATTCCAGGAGAATTTTATGGAATTCAACTTGGAAGCAGCTCCCGTGCCTCAAGTCTGGAGATGGCAGAGTTAATCATAAAGTTCGGTGGCAGAATTAATCATAAAGTTCGGTGTTAAAACAGAGGGTGAAGCTGCTGATTCCTTTGGTTTTCACCTTTTCCTGTGTTTGGGAATCTAAAATTTGGAGAATTGGAATGATCCAACAGCTTTCAATCCCATGGTCCAAGGCAGAAGGGATCTGCCAAACTTCCCAAAAAAAAGCTGTGCTGCTGTCTGGGCTGTACCAACCCCGGTGAGCTCGTATCCCACACATTCTTTGGAAGTGGGTTTTGGGATGAGGTGTCCCCCAGCCCGATCTGAAGGGAATCCAGATTTTCTTCTGTGTCCCAGGAAAAGGAGCAGATCACCCTGAGCCAGCTGTCGCTGGTGGATCTGGCGGGAAGTGAGAGAACCAACAGGACCAAAGCCGAGGGGAACAGACTGCGGGAGGCAGGTAGGAACACCCTGGAGCACCCTGCTAATTAACCCTGCTAATTAAACTCCTGCTAATCCCGTCTCCTAGGGAGGAATCCCAGGAATTCTTGAAGTGCTCTGTTAGGATCAGTTAGGATTTGATGAGCTCAAATTGTCCCACAAGTTTGCAGCAGCACTTCTGCCACTTCAGTTAATTAGAGCAATTATTAACAAATATCGTTAATTAGGCAATTTATTCTTCTGACTAATCTGGGAACGTGATCCAAGAGCTGCTCATGGAGTTATTTTGCCTTGTGTTTGCTTTTTTTAGGGAATATCAACCAGTCACTGATGACATTGAGGACGTGCATCGAGGTTCTGCGGGAGAACCAATTGTACGGAACGAACAAGGTGGGCAGCCCTTCCCTGCTGATCCTTGCATTTCATCACCTGGATGAGGAAAACTCATGAGGTTTTCTCGGCCTTTATTCCCAGATGGTTCCATACAGAGACTCCAAGCTGACTCATCTCTTCAAGAACTATTTCGATGGAGAAGGGAAAGTTCGGATGATCGTGTGTGTGAATCCCAAGGCAGAGGACTACGAGGAAAGCCTGGTAAGTTCCCTTTTTCCATTCCCTCCTGCTCTTCTTTTTCCTTTTTCCCTGGATTCTTGTGCTCCAAGAGATAGAAGGAATTATAATTTTTGTTTGAGCCCTTCAATTATAATTCTGTGGGATAAATCTGCTCCCCAAGTCTTGTTTTTGCTTTCATTTTACACCTGCTCCTTGCTTGGAAGGTGGGAAAGGTTTTCCTTCCTCACAGAATTCCATGGAGCCATATTTGGGTGTTTAATCCCTCCTATTCCAAGAACTCCAGCTGTCCCAAGCTTTTGTGGCACCTTGTGGGGAGGTTTCTGGAAGATCCCAAACCATAGCTGCGATTTCAGCCGGATAATTCCTCCTTTCCCACTTGAGTGACCCATTCCCATCTCCGGGTGCTCCTGGTGTTTTTTTTCCCATTTTCTTGCAGCAAGTGATGCGTTTTGCAGAGATGACCCAGGAGGTGGAGGTGGCG